TCAATTGGTTCCATATTGATTTGATATCAGAAAATCAATCGTTCTAAAGTTGAATGTTTATGACGAATGAAAAGTTTAATTTAAGGGGGGGAAAAGTACAAAAGTGTAAGAAAAAAATGGTTTCCGAAATGAACCAAGTCCAAAAAAGAAAGAATGTTTCAACCCAAATGAAACCATTGCCAACTGCTACGACCAGATACACTGCCCGCCTTCTTTATCTCTATCTAGGGGGGATTCTTTCTTAGAGCCCAAATTACTTAGANACCATTGCCAACTGCAACGACCAGATACACTGCCGGCCTTCTTTATCTCTATCTAGGGGGGATTCTTTCTTAGAGCCCAAATTACTTAGACACTTAACGCTATGTTCAATAAATAAACTCTCTTAATAGAGGAAAGGCCACATAAGAGAGTAAATCGTATTATCTAAAGAGGAAAGGCCACGTTAGAGAGTAAATCGTATTATCTAACGAGCAAACGGCTACATTCTCCTATTTTGAAGTCTTTGCTGGTGAATTGGTAACATAGCCTGGTTTGAACGATTCGCTGTGACTTTCATCTTTCTTTTGAAGTCGTACTCAATGGATGGATTTGTTAACTCTATATTTTCCTTTACCTTATAAGATACATAGCTGCTTTCTTGACTCCTTGTACCCAAATTCGGATCAATTTTTCAAACTTAATCAACCGATCTGGATTATACATAATTATAAACTTTAAGACTAAATTGGCGGGGAACAGAACGGTAGTAAATTAAGCCAGTAACTTTTATGACTACTACTTCTAGATCCAACAACGCGTCCCCCTATATGAGATCGACTCGCTTTAAATTTTATTAAAACAATCATATAAAAATAAAAGCCTTCATTGCCTACATTCTATGCTTAAAGGAGATTAATTCTAAATCTTTTTGGGAACTACGCCACCACAAGTAATGATTGTCAACTTCTTGCAGCCATAAAATCAATTGTTTATGTCTTTTGATGGAGTGTATAAATAAAAATCTAATGTAAACGCCTTGTCTGCAAAACCATTGTTTGTCTCTCTACGACGCGCCTTCTTTCCCCTATTGGAAAATAACACTACGAATATTTCTTAAGAATAAAAATTGGTTAAGTTAAATGCTTAGTTGTTAGTAACAACCCAAACCAAAAAAAAAATCTAAAAGCCCGCCCCCATGAAAAAATAATCTCATTTAGGCAATTGAATAGATGAACAAGGAGGAAAAAAAATGTAACCGAAGAACCATAACCCAAAAGAAAAAAATATCACCCAGTAACAGTAACATCTCATCATCAAGAATTTGACACAATTTGAAAAAATGTAAAAAAAAAATTATTTTTTTGTTGCTGCATAATAACAAACTACCACAAAATAATAATATTATTATCATACATTTTATTTTTAATCTAAACATGACGCATGCACAACTGATTGAGTCAATAACAAATCTCTAGAAAATGTCGTTTGGGTGTCGTCCCTGAATAGCATATCTTATCTGAAAGCAATTGACTCATACAGTTCTGATCGCCGGGGTCAGTCCAAATCACTACACATGATCTTCTTGTCTAATATGTAGGCGAGATTTTCCACATTCTCATTTTGACAAGAAAATGAGTGATTTTTTTTTTTNACATGATCTTCTTGTCTAATATGTAGGCGAGATTTTCCACATTCTCATTTTGACAAGAAAATGAGTGATTTTTTTTTTTTAACCAGCAATGTGTTGTTATGTTACCTGGATTGAAATGCAATGTGTTTTTGGAATGTCTTATTTCTGGGTCTGAAAAATCTTCTCTAAGTTGACTCTATCTATTGGAAATTGGGAGAAATAGACAATATCATATGATTAAATAAAAATTAAACAGGGCTCCCGCTAGCTTAAATTAATATGATTATTATAGTTTGTCAAGTGTGGTCGTGGAAGGCTGCAAAAAACTTGCAACTGGTTTCATTTCTTAATAAATTTACTTTGCAATTATATAAATTGGAAAGAATCCATTAGATATTCTAATTTGTTATTTATCTCCTTGAACGTAAATAAATAACCAAGTCCTACCAATTTGAGGAACGGTTAAAGATAATTATCTACCTTCCGCAATTCCCTGATTACACTCTGTTCATGAATCCCAATTGTAAATCTCTCCTTATTCTTATCTATATTGAATGATTGGGAAAAGAATATAGGGAAATTTTTTAATATATATTCTAATGGAAGTTACTAACCAAGGTCATGCCAAAAGATGGAACACGAAGGCAATTTCGCTGGAGAACACTACCTGTTCCTCAAACCTCTTAGTTCCTGGAGCCTATTTTGCAATTTACTATGTTACTGATTAAGCTAGATCCCTTTTGGAGATCTTCTCTCACTAGCTGAGAAGAAAGAACAACCAAGCTACCTATATTTGCAATGCTTAAAGGTCACTTAATAGAAGTCCAAGCCCAAGGAATCTATTTGAAATCATACAAAAACATACATGAGGGTGTATGTCATTTGTAATGAATATTCCAACCAATAATGAGATATGCAGTGGAAACCTATTGACTACTGAGAGTCGTCGAAACTACAACTCCTAGAGAAGAGTTTTGATGAACATATCGGTGCTACCACTTGCTGCCCTTTCTCCAGCCCAATTTCGTGTAACGTACATTCAGAAAGCCCAATCTAAAGGGGACGGTTTACATTTCAGTTGAACCTAGAAAGGTATCATTCAAGCAAATTAGCTCTATTTCCTAAGAAGAATAGAAGCAAGAAAGGCAGTCAGTCGATAAAGGAAGTTCCAAATACACTGGTGTGTATACTGTTCCATATTTTGAACAAATTACACGCCCACTCTCTTAGTGGATACGAAACAGAATTCGACGAACTTTTTTTTTCGTTCTGGAGGTGCTACGTAATTTTTTTAAAGTTTTTTACAACCACCATAACCTTTGAAGAATTACCTCATTATTAATAACAGATATTAGCTATCCATCATTAGATTGAATGTTTGTTTGATTTGTAAAACATTTATTACTTTGATTAATTGAGCATTTTATAAAATATTTCAGTCATTTTTTAACTTTGAAGGAGAGTGAACTACCATGAGTAATTCAAATTATCAGTCATACCAACAGTCATATGGTGGAGCTGCAATTGGAAAATCTTCATCTATTGATTTATTTGAATCAGGTAATGATCAGAATGGAGATGATTTCTTTGGATCTATTCAACCACAGCAACAACAGCCTCAACGTCAACCTCAACAGCAATCACAACACTATCATCAGCAACATCAACCGCAACATCAACCTCAACAATATCATCAACAGCAACAGCATCAACAATACCCAGCTGCACATCAGCAACCTGTCCAACATCATTCTCAAGAGCAAGTACACACTGTTCAAGACGATTTTTATTCCAATCAACAAGCTCCAGAAATGGGTTATCAACAAAACCAGAGATATTCAATTGATCATCATGAGCAACAGCACTACCAGCAACAACAGCAACCAAATGAATACACCGAAGGCAATATTATGAATCCGTATCATGACAGTGGAGTTTTGGAGCAAGATGATCCATGGGCTGAAGAATTGTACATTGACGATGTTTCATCTCCGTATAACCAAGAATCTAATCAAGCTCAGAGTTTGGAAGGACAATTGCATGGTGAACAGAATTGGCAACAGCATGAACAAGAATATGAGGGGCAACAATATCATCAGCATGAGGAACAACAATATCATCAGCAGGAGGACGAACAATTCCAACAGCATCAGCATCATCAACAAAATCAGCATGAGCAACAACAGCAACATTATGACCGTCAGCTTGAAGAAGAACAGTATGATCAACAGAATCAAGATCAGTATCCAGAACAAGAAAATTCTCAAGGCGATCAACAATTTGTTAACCAGGAGGAAATAACTGGGCAATCTAATGAAGAATCATATCAGGTGCATGAACAGGAAGCTGACAACGAGCATGTAAGTGGAGAAGTTCAAGAGGATACTTTCGCAAGTGAGCAAATTACAATGGGTGCAGAAAATCAAAAGCAGGAGAATGGAGGAGCAGAAGCAAGTACATTTGATGCATCAATGGGAATTTCCAAGAGTAATTTGGATAACTTATTTGAAAATGAAAAGAATGATTTCTTTGAAGAGATTGTACAAGAATCCCACAAATTGGAAAAATCTGTATCAGCAGCTCCTAGTAAGTTAGATGCTCTTGAGTTGGATGACGATTTGTTATTGGATGACGATTTATTAGACGATGAACTTTTAGAGGAATCTCAAGAAACTCAAACAATCCAAGAGCAAACCTATCAACCACCTGTCCAAGTTCCACATCATGTCCATCATTCATATATTCCAGATGCTAATGTACAATCTCATTATGTTGCTACAGCAAAACAACAACCTGTTGCCTCAGAATTTGTAAAGCATTTAGAAGAAGCAAAACGAAAGCACGATGCGTATGATTTCCCAGAAGCATTAATTCCTCAAAAGGTTAGACCAGCTCCAAGACATTCTGCATCAAAATATGCTCCATCAACTTCCAGTAGTACACCATCTGTTCCTCTTGCTCCAGTTGGCCAGCAACCAGCAGCTCCTTATCAAGTTGAACAGAAGCCGCCAGCTAATCCAACACCACCAAAGTCATTTTTTGAAGAATTACCTGTTGAATTACCTAAACCTGGTCGTTCTGTTAGAGCAGCTGCGCCAGTAAAAGCAGTCAATCAACCGCATTTACACCCACAACCAGCACCATCGCAACCATTGCCTCAACCACCTACAGGAGTAAGTAAACCACCACCAGTTAATCCGTATATGCCAAAATCAGGAACGTCACCTATTCTTCAACAACATGTTCCAAAGCAACAAGCTACAACTATGCCTTTGCCAGCTCCAAGTATGCCAATAGTTAGTGCCTATGGTGCTCAACAACCAAAGAAACCGAATGCATACGGTCCAGCTCAACCAGCTCAACAGAATGCGTTTGCGCCACCACCACCAATGGCACAGTTACAACCACAGCAACAACCAAATATATATGGGCCACCACCAATGGGACAACAACAACAACAACAACAATTTGGACCATCACCACCGGTCATGCAATCAGTAGCCGTTGCACCACATTCTCCTCGGTCTGCTCAAAGCCGTTTACCATCTGTAACTATTAATAGTAGTGTGTCCAGATCTCATACTAATACCATTACAAGTCCATATGTTCCAAATGCGGGTCCATATGCTCCTCTGGGTCATCAAAGAACACATTCACGTGCCAGTTCATTAGTTGGGGGTAAAGGCAAAGATTTTAATCCTTATGCACCTGCATTACCTACTGTTCAAAGTCATGATGCTACTCCTGCTTCACTTCATGTTGCAACTGGTGTTGGTGGTGGGGTTATTCCTCCTCCAGCAAGAACTCGTGGATTTTCAAATACGAGGGGAAATATATACAAGAATGCACAAAAGATAACTAATCCTGAAGAACTTTTACATCGTCAATTTCCAATATTTAATTGGAGTGTTTCTCAGAATGCGGTCCATATTGTGCCTGGAAGGAATTATAATGAAGCTCCAATTATTCATGTGACTCATGTTTCGAATATTTTTAAGGATAGAGATGTTTATGCAAATTTCCCTGGGCCTTTAAGTAGAGGAAAAACTAAAAAGAAGGATCTTGAAAAATGGTTAGAATTATCTTCTGAATCTTTACATAAACAAGGGAAACTTAATGAAGTATTATTGAATCAAATATTGTTGGAATTAGTTAAACATGATGGAAACTTGAAATCACAGGAATTTTTACGTGCTGCATGTCAAATATTAAATCCAAGTGTTAATTTTGAAGCAGGTGATATGTTACCTGTATCAGGAGTAATGGGAGCAACTAATGCATATAGGTTAGATAATTCTGGTGTAAATACTGTTTTTACATTAATTCAAGCAGGAAACATGGAAAGAGCATTAGAATTTACGATTTCCCGTGGTGATTGGGCATTAGCTTTAGTGATTGCCAATTTTAGTGGACCAGAAAGATTTGCCAAGATTGCTTCTGAATATGCTAGAAATAGTTTCCCATTCCAAAAATCAAATAATAAAGTCTATCATATCATGCCAATTTTGTTGAAGGTTATTGCTGGAAATGTTCAGAGTGTTATTGAAGATTTAACTGCTGTGGCTAATGAAGGGGAATATGCAAATATTCATTGGCGTGAAATTGTATCGTCAATTGCTATTAGTGGATCCATTAGAACTGGGGAATTTTTAATTGAATTTGGAAGGTTTTTAAGTACTCATTATGGAAATCAAATTGGTTGTGAGATTTCATATATTTTAGCAGGATTACCATTTGGAAAACAAGCTTCATTCATGGTTTTGAATTCGGCTGAACATTCGATGTATACTCAAGTTTATGAATATGTTCTTAGTTTTTATAATCCTACTCCTGTTCCACCAATGGGATTCCCTCATTTATTGTCATTGAAATTGAAATATGCATCAACTTTGGCTGATTATGGATTATTTAATGAATCACAACGTTATATTGACTATATTAATAATACAATCAAAACTTTAGGAAATAAGTCACCATATGTTAGTCCTGATTTACTTCATGAATTCCAGAATTTATTAGTTAGATTAAGTGATTCAGGCTCGAGTGATCAAGGATGGTTTGGAGGTAAAGTATCCAAAGTTAGTCTTGATAAAATTTGGGGACAAATTGATAAATTTATTGCTGGTGATGAAACAAAACCAAAAACTAGTGAAACTGGAGTCTTTAGCAAATTTAGTCCATCTGTATCTAGAACTACTTCAACTGCTGATTTTAGTGCGTTGCAATCACAAGCATATGCCCTGAATAAAGATCAATTTACACCTTTAGCTCAGAGCCAAGCAGTCTTCCTGGCCCCAGCATTGAGAGATCAACAGCAGGAACTTAGAAATTCTCCATATCAACCACCACAACGTCCACAGTTGCCATCTCAGAATTCAACGGCTTCTGTCAATAGATATGCTCCAGGAAATCATCCTCAACTTCCCCAATCTCATCAAGCACATCAACCAAAAGGAACATCGCCATATTCAGGAAATAAATATGCTCCAAGTAACTCGTCGCAACATAATTTGGTAGAACAAGATCAAATGAGACAACATGCAGGAATTGGGCCAGTATTACCAATAGGTCATTCACCATTAGTGCCAAAAGCATCTACATTCCAACATGGGGGGCATGTAGGTCCAGCAGGAGGTCACTCTGGTATTAGTCATGTTAAGAATAGTTCAATCGGTAGTATTGGGTCAATTGATAGTTCTACTCCGCTTCCACCACCACCATCGATGCAACAACTTGGCGGAGCTTCTTTGCGTAATGCTATTAGTGCTGAAAGTACACCAAGGAAAAGGAAAGATGTGGGTTTGATTAATGAAAGCGCAGAATTACATAGTAGAATTGATAAAGAAGATCACATGAAAAATAAAAATGAAGGCGATGAAACGTTAAGAGGAGAACAAATGGATATTGGTCAACAACCATCTGAAGTAGAACCTAGTGGTCCTCCACCACCTCCTCCTCCAGTTAAGCAAGTTGTGCCACCTCCTCGGATAAAGAAATCAGTTGCACCTCCACCACCATCTACTATTCATATTGAAAACAACGAGAATGTTTCACCTCCAGTTGAGAATGTAGTTGCACCACCACCACCACCAATGAAGAGGGTAGTTCCACAAGCTGAATCAATTGTACCACCAACACCTGTTAAACAAGAAGTCATTGCACCTGAAGAAGAAGTAGTAGTTGAACCTGTTGAAATTAATGAAGAAATTCCACCACCTCCAAGAAAGCAGTCTAGTGTATCTTCAATACCACCACCTCCAGGAAAACAATCTAGTGTATCTTCAGTTCCACCAGTACCACCAACTCAAAAGTCATTATCAGAGCTTGCCCCATCAGTACATGAAGAAGTTGCATCACAAACTTCGGTGGAGAACAACCGTTTATCGCACGTTGGATCACATCAAACATCGCATCATGAAGCACGGCCACCTGTCGTTGAAGAGACTCAAGAATTAATCACTGAAGTCGTGGAAGAAAAGCAAGAAGTAAAAGTTGAGCAAGTTGATGATACTCATGAAGAAGAAACTGCTGGCCCTCCTGCACCTCCAGGTCCACCAAAAGCTAAGCATGTTGCATCTAAAGCTAATCCATATGCTCCAGGTGGTGGAGCTAAGCCTCGTACGGGTAGGAATAAATATGGTCCTCCAGCCACTAGTAATGTGAACAAATATGCAGTACCAGAAAGTTTAGTTAATGAAAATGAATCTGTTCCTGGTGGAGCTGTTGCTAATGCCGGTTTTGATATGTATTCATATGGTGGATATCATGTTGGTGAACCAGACAAGAAGATTGATGACAAAGAAGAAGAGGAAAAGAAGCAAGAGCCAGAAGTTATTCCTGAGATAGAAGTAGCACAACAACAAGAGGAAGAAGAAAAGGTGATTAGAAAGAATCATCAACCAATGAGGAACGTTCCAAATGTTGACGACAGTTTTGATACATCATATGCAAACAGTGAGGTTCAAGGAAACTTTACACCCAAACCACGTCCCTTGATTCTTAATCAAGCCAATTTCACCCCACTGCAACATACTGGTAATAGTAAATTCGGATTTGATGGGTTCCCAATTCCTGGATCACCTGAATATACCACACGTGCTAATTCTGTTATTGGAGCTAATCCACCTATGAGTGGAATTTTTTCATCTAGATTATCACAATCACAACAAAGTGCATTATATCAGCAATATGAAGTTGAAGATGATACTGTGAGAGATTATGTTCCAATTACGGAAGAGGATGAAGATGATGAAGATAAGGATCATAAGAAAGCTAGATTGCAAGCCAAGAGAAAGGCAGAAGAAGAAGCAAAGAAGAAGAAAGCTGGTGAAAATAATAATAGTACATTAGGAGTTAGTGGTACAAGAGATAAGCGTCCAGACTTACATCATAAAGATAGTGGATGGTTTAATGGTTGGTTAGGTAAGAATGATGGGAAACCAAAGCCAATTAAAGCTAAATTGGGTGAGAAGGTGAATCCATTCTATTATGATGAAAAACATAAGAGATGGTTAGATAAGTCTAGACCTATTGAAGATCAATTGAAAGAAAGTACTCCTCCACCACCTCCAATGATGATGAAAAAGAAATCTGGTGGCGCTGGTGGTCCTCCTCCTTCGGCTAAACCTCCTTCGCTTGGAATATCACCAACTACTACTCCAAATCCAACTGCTCGTGGTTCTGTTCCTCCAACTATTCCAGCTACTACTGGTGGAAGCGTTGCTCCAGCTCCTGCTCCTCCTGCTTCTGGCGGTGCTTCTACTACTCCTGCTGCTGCAAAAACTCCAACATTGGCTACAATTGGAGATTTAGATGCGTTGTTACAAATGCAAGGACCTGGTTCTGGTTCTGGATCGATGAGAAAAGCTAAGAGAAGTGGTCGTAGAGGATACATCAATGTTATGGAAAAATAATTAATTAGTTTATTTTGTATATGATGTTTGTAAAAGAAAGATAATAAAATTTTTGTATATTAGTATTTTGTTTAAATTCATCTCGTAGAGTAAATCCGCGGAATATTGTTCCGGTATTATTACAATACGGAAGACAGATAGGAAAGCCCTTTGGAAAAAAAACCCGTACGACACAAATTGGCGATACCGGAGTGAGGAGTGGCTTATCAGGATTGATCTAGATGAGTTTCCGGAAGGAAATAATGGGCAGATTTTGAAAATAATTAGTACAGTTCTCCAAGTTTTTATTTCCCCAACCTGACTAATATTTGGGTGAGGGGGAGTTGGTTGAAATGAACAATGGCGAGTCTAAAATTTTGTTGAGTCAGAAGAAGATGAGGAGTATTTAGTTAATACCCCTTTAATATGGTCTTATATTTATTAATTATTCAAATCCCTGATAAAGTAAGATTATGCCAGTTGTATCACAAAAGAGAGGAGACTTGAAGGATGAGTCGTTCTACATCTGTCTGACCCGGAGAAGCTTTTACAAACTTAAAAATAGAAAGAGAAAAAAAAAGTGCGGAAATGGTTTTCTCCGTAAACAAAAAAAGAAACAAAACAGCCAACGGTTGAATTCGGTGAATCTTAAACGAATTATTCCGAAGAGATAAATTACACAATAATCAATATGGTTTGATTTTAATTTAAATTTAAATTTTATTAATTAATTTAATTATTATAATTTATTAAAGAACTCGCTCTATATACCCATACGTAATTCATATAAACCCAATAAAAATTATTACAAAAAGAAATGAAAATGAAACCCCAAAAATTGTAAAACCCTATAAACATGAAGGAAAGGAAGAATAAATTTACTTTTGGTTATCAAATACACAAGTATTATTCTTCTTATTACAACCTTCACATCTATTCAAGCTAGCATTGAAAACACATTTAACCTTTCTCTTACGACACAAGACACAAGATGACTTTCTACTAGTACTATTGATATTTTGTTGATCTTGAAATGGTTGTTGTTCTTGAATTTGCATTGAGAACCCTTGCTTCTGTTGTTGAAGATTGAGTTGTTCAATGATCTTGACTTCTTCTTGTTTAGGGAATGTGGTGGTTGTTATTGGTTGAATAGGTTTTAATTTCAATACTTTCTTCTTAATGATTTTGTTATTAGTCGTCTTCTTGGGAGAAGAGTAATATGAAGTATTAGTAATAGCAACTGGTGACGCAAGCGTAGAAGTAGGAGTAGCAAGTTGCACATTAGAACTAATTGGGGTAGTAGAATGTTTCTTATGATTCATAATATCTTCTTTTGTAAATCCTTTTGAAAAGCAACAAGGTAATTGTTTTGCTTTACAACTATTACAAGATTTAAATTTAATCAATTTATCATGAGAAATGATTAAATTATATGATCCACCATCTTCAATCAAATTAACTAATTGACCACCTAATAAATTATCCATTTGTTGTTGATTTAAATGAGGGAACCATCCATATACTAAATTAGGTTTAACATCTTTAGAAAGGATAATGATTTCTGCATTACATTTAACTTTTCTTAATCTACATGAATCACAACTTGGTCCTAATCTTTGTCTTCTCTTTTGATGATGAGAATTGGAATGTGAATGATGATGTGCGTGTGACATTTCTGGAGAAGATGGAGATGATAAGGATGCAATAGAAGAACAGGATGAAGAAGATGTTAATGATGGTGGTTGTTCAATGTTCATCATTGCTGAAGTTAGTAACCCTAATCCATGATGATGGCTAGTTAAATTTGATTCTGTAAGACGTTGTGGAGTGGTAGAACCAGAACCAGAAACAGACATTGTTGGCATTGGTTTGGATGTGGTATAGTTTGAAGGTATAATTGGTGGTAGCACTATTTGTGGTTGTTGAATATGTTGATGTTGAATTGGTGGTAATTGTCTTAAGGTTGGTGGAGACAATGGTGGTAAACTGAATGGTTGTTGTTGATGTTTCATACCAGTGGTAGTAGTAGTATTGGTGGTACTACCACTGTTATACATGATTGAATATGTTAATAAATCAGACATTATTTAATACTAATATAAAATATAAATATCCAGACAGACAGTAAGTTCTTCCTTTTTGACAAGAAACGTTAAATTCTTTTTTTGGAATTTACTTTACATTTTATATCTTCTAAATTTGCAGTAAATACATAAAAAATAAAAATATCATACCCAAAAAAAAAAAAATACAGAATTTATTTAATACCCCTCTTTTATCAGGAAAGACATATTTTTAAGTTTCTATTGTTTGTACTCTCGTTCTCCCCTCCGTCTTTATTGTTTTTGTGTCTGATTGACTTCTTTTCCTCCTCACTTGTGAAAAAAAGAGAATGAGTAACAAAATCGTAAGAAAGTTGTTCTATTTAGCGAATAATCCCCTACTCCGGAATTATCCCGACAGCCAGACTTTCTTTCTTCTTTGCACAGTCTGGGGGGCGAGATTTGGATTCCAGTCATTTCCTAATCACCGACATATTCATAGCCGCCAAGATGAAAAAGCTTTTGATCTAAATTCTTACAACTCACATGGTACCACCTGTCTAAAAATAGGATAGATAACCGATTGGTAATCACGTTGTATGTACCAAAAGTATTCTCGCTATAGGCTTCTTTTAATCTCTTTTTCCTTAAACTTGAATAAACAAGAAACAATTAGGAAAACCTCGGAATGCTCATCAGAAAAAAAAACCTTTAAAATCAGGAAGACTCACAAGAGAACAATAACAAACAAAATTTAATTACACAATTTTCCGAAGACGGAAAAAGTCGGAATACCCATTATTTCTCGGAGTACTCCGACGAGCGAAGTTTTGTATTTAAATCCAATAACGTTATGGAGAACAATAGTCCACCACAGGAATGAGAGAAAAAAAGTGTGGAACCGTAGTAGATTGGGATCAACCTTACAAAAGTGGGTACAAAAATAGTTTACAAGGCAATAGGAAGATAAGCTACCGAACAGCCAAAAAGAAAGATAGTTAAAACCAAGAAAGGGAATTTACCTTGGGATCTGTCTATCAGTCTGCTATCTTATTAACTTCCACGGTTATGCAAAAGGGAGGTGGAGAAAAAAAAATACGAAAACGGATAGCCTTAATCAGATTTATCTTTTATATCCACGGTATTATCAATAATAATATATAAAGGGATATGCTTACATATTGTTGTAGAAATAGTTGTGGATCGAGGTTCCATCCAAAACTATTAATTACAAACCATGGAAAAATTCTAACCAATAACTCACTTTCTTCCATCATCGGAAAATTAACCCGGGATTTATCAAAAACTATTCTCTGATTCTATATCTTTTTTTTAGCTAATCATTATACGGTGTATGGATCAGTGGTCCGATGTGTACGGTGCAATAAATTAAAAAAAAATGCTGCTGCATTTCGGAATTCGGAGAAGCTCGAGAAAAATAATTTTATTATGGAAAGAAGAAAAAAAAAATAAAACGTTGTCATACTGCATATAGCATCCCCTCCTTCCAAATGTTCTTTCGGAGAATAAAAGTTACACCTTTTTTAAAAGAAAAATGGCTATGCCGTTATTCTTTTATTTTAAAGTTTGAAATTTGAATCACAATTTCAAACATAAAGTTAACTTGATTAAAGCAGAGTAACTTCGTAAGATATGAGTTCAAGCGTGTGTCGTTTTTCGAGTTAAGTTTCACCCACTTGCGCTTGTGCCTCTCAAAAGGTGATTGCCCTACGAGTGAAAAAAAAAATGAGATTAAAAAAAAGTGAGGAGTAAAAACAGAAAATGTCCCCTCATTTTCTAAATCTATCAGAGAATTAAATCCTATCATTAACTGATTGTCATGAATCTAGATCTATTGACTCTCTGACTATCTATACATACAGATAGACTAAGGGGACTAATTTAAAGATCTCACAGTTTTGAGGCATTCACATCCAGACATAAAGTTGCTTTCATGTGTTTTTATTAACCGTACGTAATTGATTATATGAAATTCCCAAAAATCATCAGCCAGTACTGCATAGCCTTCTGAACAATAAGAACTATTAATTTCTCTTTCCTCGCTTTAATCGAACTCTGTATAGTGGAACCGCTCGTATAGAATTCTTGTAATTATTTTTTGGTTTGGTTCTTTTTTTACTCCTCATTTATGCTTCGGAGATGGAAAAGCTGTGAATGAATTCCGGAGTGAAATGTAAAACTTACCTGCTTCTATCATATATACTACATTCCAAATAATCTACAAGTCTGCCTGGATTACTTTGGCCAATGACACCGAGGAAAGTTACAAGTTGTGTCTTCTTTTCATCATTGTAAACAAAATTCTATGCGTGGTTGACATGTATTGGTGGGGAACTTAAACTCCGAAGAAGATTTATAATTAACGTTTGAGTCAAAAGTCAAACTGAAAAAATAATTTTTCTTTTTGTATACAGGAAGTCCCGATAATAGAGGTATTGAAAAAAAAATATTCAAACTCATCGAAGAAGATCCTTGTTTCCGAGATTCTTTTTTAGATCGGATATTCAAATTTCCGAGTCCGGTCACGTGAACTGTATGTTGACATTGTTCAATTCCGCATTAGATAAATTGATTCAAGAATATATATCCGCAAACCATGGTTTGTTTTTATTGAGATTGATGTTACCGTTGTATTTCCGTCTTCTAATCTCATCTCAATATTTACAAAAGTATGATAGGAAATGAAAAAGAGATTATCCACATACTGTCGGTATAGATTACCTAAAAAACAATGGCACATTCCCCTCGTTTCGTTTGCCGCCACAGAGACAGTTTCAGGGTTTTTCACTTTTTTATTTTAACTCTAAATCTTTTAAATTCACATGTAGCAAAGTTTCATTGTTAGAAACTTTTATTTGGCTTCTTATCGTTTATTCTTTATCGGAGTTCTATGTAAGGCTAATTTCATGGAAAACCCCAAACAAAATAGGAGAAGCAACGTGTAAAGTTGCACGTCCATTTGACTGGCATTTATAATCGTCCTGTTCTTCATCGAACATACTTCTAGCTCTATTTTCTAACATATTTCTTACAACATACACCACTAAGGAGTTTAGAACTCTCCGCAAAGACCCAGTTTACGACTTTTATGGTTGCAATTTTTCGCTCCGTGACTCATTTGCCTCGGATCTTTATAGTTCTAAAAATTTACCCCACGAAAAAAAAAAGATTAACCTGGATAAACAATTTAATTACTCCGCTGGTTATGTGGGTATATTCCAGGCTTGTGAATTAAAAAAACAACTCCGAAAGTAAATAAAAAAAACAATTAACGTTTTTGTGAATTTTCTTTGATGTACTACTTCGGGGTGAATAAAAGGTTATCATTATGGAATAATGGAAGGAAACAGTCTACCCCGTTTTTTTTAATGCAAGATTTCTCCTATTTGAGAATAATCATCGCACCAAGAATGTAAGGTCGTATAAGAAATTTAATATAAGGCGTTTAAATGTAAAAAAACAGATCCGTTCCAATCCCCCCTCTAAGTAATTTGACTTCCGCTCCGGAATGTGTTCAACCTCGGATTACCAATCATTAACATCACGGAATTCCTGATACGAAGGGGATCTTTGACTTGCTGTGTTGTTTCTTCAATTAGGGTTAGATGGAAGTGTTGGAAATCTGTCAGGCGGTTAGTTTTAAAGTATGTATTAAGCACGTAAGGTTAAAACACCCCCAAAAAAGGAACCAAGGAACTAGATCGCGCGACTCATAACCTCCTCTTTAATCTTAGGCATTTACGTAGTTGACTTTCACAGCTGAACTTATTGATACGCTCTCTGTTATCTGTATACTCCTACAATTTAACTTTACCGGATACTGATTCAAACAGATAATGCCATTATATCGGTTGTGTTTCTATCCTCTTTGAGTTCACTTAGTTAGTAATTTGTATTAAAGAAAATTCTATTGTGTAAATGTTTCGAAAGGGTTGAATTCTTATCAAAAAATTAACCAAAATTTGCATTATTTGAAAGTTAATCAAAATAACAAAACCCCACACTAAATACAATAAGAAGTCAATTATATAACTCACAGTGTGATTATAAGAGTATCCAAACTTTCTGATTGAGATTCACAATGGTCAATTTGAAGTTGTTCTTTGGTTCTATCTGTAATGAAGAGTAAAAATTTTTTGCAACCGCCCAATCGGGAAATTTTGTCACGAGAATGTCACTTGCATATCACGTGGCCGAATTTCCACTTTTGCGATGATTTCCTTATGGCCCCTTGTAGTTGTTTGAATCGTTTGAGTTCAACTGTCTCTTCTTGTTTTATTCTCATCTCCTTCTCAAGATCCTTCTGTCTCTATCCTTTATAGAACTTTGCGCCTTCTTCATCTAGGATATACGAAGAATTTTGTGTTTCTAGTTTCTCTCGATATTCTTTGAATCGTCTCTCTGTTGGATGTTAGTAACTGGTGAAATTGCATTGCAAGTCAGTTATACGCACTTCCATTTTCTTGCAATTGCTGCTTTAATGTTTTCCTTTCTCCGTCTATAGTATCTTTATCCTCTGCTTGCATTTCGATAGGGTTTCTTTAGATTTAATGGTATCTCGATGGAACGTTTGGATGATCCTTTAGTGAAGAATGGATGAGCGAAAGAGAAAAATAAATTCAATTTCCATACACTAATTTATTTCTATAAAAAATACTAAACCTATTTAATCAACGATATAAATACGACCTTCATAAGGAGTTAAGACATCGTGATCGATTTCATGTTTAGAAACATTTGAATGAATTAAAGAAAATTCACCATCAATCAATTTCTCAAAGTTGATGGAATCTGTAGAGAAATTGAGCACAACGTAAGCCTTTGGAGAATGACTGTCTTGTAATTCTTTCACGAAGGTGAATGTATTCTTATTATCATAATCCAAAACCTTGAAATTACCATAGATAAACAAATCTTTGTGTTCTTTTCTTACCTTCAATGATTTCTTCCAGAAGTTCAAAAGAGAATTATCGTTTTCAAGTTGAGATTTAACATTGATCTCTTCATAGTTGTCATTAACTCTAGTCCAAGGTTCAACAGTTGAAAACCCACCAAAAGCAGAATCGTCCCATTGGACTGGAGATCTGGAATGGTCTCTGGCTAAGAGACTGATAAGATCGAGAAGTTTGGTTTCTCTTTCTTTGAAATCTGGTTCATTACCATACTTTTCCTTGAAAGCCTTGTAGTAATTGATGGTATTAATATCCTTATATTCTTCAATTGACCAAGATCTAGGTAAATTGGTCATACCAATTTCTTGACCTTGATAAATAAAAAGAGTACCAGTCAATGTGGTTTGCAACATAGAAATTAATTTACCACTCTTTTCAGCATATTTTGTATGACCAAATCTTGAAACTGATCTTGGTTGATCATGGTTTTCAATGAATACAGTTGACCAACCATCAGAGCCTTCGAAGAACTTACATTGATTTTCAACGGCCTTTTTGAGCTCGTCTAAAGTCCAACCTTCGTATCTGAATCTATCACCATCATCGGATCCTAAATCAACAAGATCGAATAAGAACAACATATTCATTTCGTTTTCAGAAGCACTAACATATTTCAAAGCTTGCTCTCTAGTACAGTGTCCAACTTCACCAACAGTCATAACATCATATTTGGACGTAACCTTCTCATACATTTCCTTGTGGAATTCGTGGATTCTTGGACCATTGTTGGTGTATAATCCACTTGGTTGGTAATATTGATCTTTAAAGACAATTGGAGCATCAGGGAAATCTTGATCTTTAGAATACATACCAGCTGTATCAATTCTGAACCCATCAACACCACGTTCAAACCAGAATTTTAAGGCAGTTTCATAGATTGTATTTCTAACTTCCTCATTTTCCCAATTTAAATCAGGTTGAGAGTTGGCAAAAAGTTTCAAGTAATATTCACCAGTTAATTCATCGAATTGCCAAGCAGAACCAGAAAAGTGAGACATCCAGTTGTTTGGTGGTTGTCTGTTTCCATTTTCATCATATTTTGGTTGTTTCCAAATATACCAATCTCTCTTTGGATTAGTTTTAGAAGATCTTGATTCCTTGAACCATTCGTGTTCTGAAGAAGTATGATTGATAACCAAATCACAAATGATCTTCATGTCTCTTTGATGACAACCATCAATTAAATCTTGCATATCTTGTAAACTACCAAATTGAGGATGAATTTGATTATAATCAGAAATATCGTAACCACAGTCATCAAATGGACTCATATACATTGGACTTAACCAAATAATATCAACGCCGAGATCTTTGAGGTAGTCTAAAGTGGAAATAATCCCAGGAATATCTCCAACACCATCACCATTGGAATCCTTATAGGATGCTGGCCAGATTTGATAGATAGTTGCGTGTTTCCACCAGTTGTATGTGATAGTCATGTTTTGTAGAGTTGAATTTGAGTTATCGAAACAAAAATGAAAAGAAATAAATTCTGGAGATCGATCAGCGACTTTTTATACTTTCCAGGGAAACCTATGAAGCAAGGCAAAAACAAAGATCTTAGTGTTTCATGGACATATCGGAAGAATTATACTTGAGAAATCTTTCCGAATTGTAACGATGTGGTATATTTAGAACTAAGCAGCCCTTGTCTTGAATCAAGGTTCCCATCGATGGACAAATTCTCGCTGCCTTTTTCGTAATTAAGCAATTTCGCAGGTTCGCATTTCCATATTTTTATTCTTTATTTTGTTGGGTGCAAAAAGAAAAAAAATAAACTTTCGTGGAGGATCAACGTTGTCCCGCCCAAGATGAAATTTGACACATTTTTCTGCTGTACACAAAAGTTGTTCCGTATGTCGGATTATTTAGAAAAAACAATAAAATAGTTAAAAACCACCGATGTCTAGTGGTCCATTGTTTTCAATGAGTTATAGTTCGAGCGACTTTATGCCAAAGGCATAGACTTTCATTAGAAGCAGGCTGCGGGTGCTCTCTTCTAATCCTAGGTAATACGTTGATCTGTTCCTGTATTGTGCCGCATGGGAAAATAATAAAAGAAGAGCGAAATTTTTCCGGTAAATGAAGCGAGAAAGAAAACGAGAAACAAAACTTGAGGGGACAACAATAGGCGAGGCTTGGTCCTAAGTCCAGTTTCTTATCTCCTGTGTTTATTGGACCACATTTTATAACTTTTGAGGATTTGATAAATTCGAGTTGCTCGCTAATGGACCACTCCACCCTTGGACATTTTTAGGTTTTGTTACCGCAACCTCAATCATTATTGTTCTCAGTGGCTATTTTCTGGGGTACGTCATTGCGAGAAATTAAGCGCTTTTTCTAATTTATTTTGAAGCTTGTGGGAAAAAAAAGTCATCACCCAGATTTCCGTGATGTTACCAAGTACTCGATCCCTGCACTGATGTTGCATGGACATTCTTTTTCCCCAATGAGCTGATTTGATATAGTCTCAACTAAGTTCATAATTCAAAGATAGCCATAATGATACACGACTTTCCAGAAGAGAGAACCTCTTAGTCTGTAGAATATCGTATCTTAGTGATCTCCTGCGCATTGTTATTTAATTCTGTGTTAAAACAGGCGTAAATGACCAAAAAAATAATTTAAAATTTTTTAATCTTTTTTTTGTCCGGAAAAATATCGATATCAACACACATAACCTTGAGCTATGCGTACGGCAGAAATTATTCGCCTGCTTTGTTTCCCCCAGACATATCATGTCTCTCTTTGCCCAAAGGGAAACCATGTTGAAAGCCTGATATCAAGAAAAATAATTTAATATAAAAGGGTAACAATTTTTCTCTGGTTTGAGTTTCTGTAAATTATTTGTCTTACATTATTAACTAACAATACATAAGTACAATAATAACAATGTCTACTTCTAGTATTGACGAGATTAAACAACAAGCTGTTGCTGAGGTAGTCACTGCCACCTCTACTGATAATGAAGTTGAGGACTACGTTGCTAAATTCTTGGATATGTCCAATGAAGCTAAGGATAATGATCAAAAAGAAAAGCATATGTCGATTAAGGAATGTATCAAGACATTCCCAAAGGCTGTTATGTGGTCTGTTATTCTTTCTACTGCTTTAATTATGGAAGGTTATGATACCAACTTATTAGCTAGTTTTTTCGCTTATCCTGGTTTTGCTAAGAAATTCGGTGACTGGTATCCCGATATTAAAGAATATCAAATTCCTGCTCAATGGCAAACTGGTTTGTCAATGGGTTATTCTTGTGGTCAATTAATTGGTCTTTTCGTTGCTGGTATCTTCGCTGATATGGTTGGTTATAGAAAAACTTTGTTGCCTGCCTTGGTTACTTCTGTTGGTTTAATTTTCATTCAATTCTTTGCTCCAAATCGTGAAGTCTTATTATTGTCATATATCTTATTGGGTATCAACTGGGGTTCTTATCAAACAATTACAGTCACTTATGCTTCTGAAGTTGCTCCAACAACGCTTAGAGTTTATCTTACCACCTATGTTAATGTCTGTTGGGTGTTTGGTCAATTAATTTCTTCTGGTGTTATCAAAGCTATTTCTACTATGGATGGTGAACATGCTTATCGTATTGCTTTTGCTGTGCAATGGATTTGGCCAATTCCTTTAGCAATTGGTGTTTACTTAGCTCCAGAATCACCTTGGTTCTTAGTTAAGAAGAGAAGATATCAAGAAGCTAAACATTCCCTTTGTAGATTATTATCCGAAAATGAACACTTACCAAAGAAAGAAATTTTAGCTGAACATATGTTAACCAAGATTCAAATGACTATTAAGGAAGAAGATGCTCTTAATTCTGGTGTCACTATTAAGGACTGTTTCACTGGTGCTAATGCGAGAAGAACTAGAATTGCTGCGTTCACTTGGTTGGTTCAAAATATTACTGGTTCAAGTTTAATGGGTTACTCTACTTATTTCTATACCCAAGCCGGTTTACCTACTTCCATGGCTTTCAACTTCTCCATCATCCAATACTGTTTTGGGATTGTAGGTACTGTTGGTTCTTGGTTCGTAGCGAGAAGAGTGGGTAGATTTACTATTTATTTTGGTGGATTATGTTGTATGGCCGTCTTATTATTGCTCGTTGGTGGTCTTGGATGTTCATCTTCAAAGAATGCCAGTTGGGGTGTTGGAAGTATGATTTTGATCTATACCTTTGTGTATGATTTAACTATTGGTCCATTATGTTACTGTATTGTTTCTGAAATGCCTTCTGCTAGATTGAGAGCTAGAACTGTTATGTTGGCAAGAAACTTCTATAACCTTTCCGGTATCATTGTTGGTATACTTACTCCATATATGTTGAACCCAACTGAATGGAATTGGAAAGCAAAGACTGCTTTCCTTTGGGCTGGTATTACTATTTTGTCAATTGTTTGGTGTTGGTTTGATTTACCAGAAACTAAGGGTAGAACATTTGCTGAATTGGATTTGTTGTTCCACGAAAAGGTTCCAGCAAGAAAGTTCAAATCCACTGAAGTTCAACCATTTGATGCTGGTAAAATGATGGAAAAATTGGGTCAAGAAGGCATTAAACAATTCATTCAACAAAAAGAGAATGTTGGTGATGAAGAAGATGCTATCATGATCGCTGAAGTTAAATCATCATCATAAATATGTAAAAAAATCTTAATATCTTTTAATTTTACTTCTCCTCATACCTATGGGTATTTGTTTGCCTCATAAATAAATTTATAATTTACATGGCATGTTTGAAATATGAATAATTTTTTAGTTGCAAAATTTTGCGTGTAAAAATTGATTGAGAAAAAAAAAGCTTCTTTCTTTTTTTTTTTTTACATATACAATCTGGTTATTGAGTTCCCATACATTCTAACATGAAATATAACAAACAGAAAACAATATACTTTAAAGGCGAAAAACATCATTGCCTAAAACCTTATTTCAGCAGCATCTTATAGACTAAGTGTGTAGGAATAGTTGTTAAGACTCTTCGATGTGTACGATACCCATTTTCGAATGAAGTGCACCGAGAGCTCAACGTTCCGGCCCCCATTTGAATGGAAGAGAATCTGTAGGTGATTTTATACTGTATTCATTCTCTTGACGCGATAACATTGGGAAGTGTTTATATGCAGTATTTTACTTGCTAGTGTCTTAAAATTGAATTCTTTTTTAAATGCAGATTAATCTTCCATTGCAGGAAACCTGTTTCTAAAAGAATGTTAGCCATTCTATGATAAGGTGTTGAGCCCGTGGCAATTAGAACGCGGTCTCCGCTAGTGTCCTTGAATTGTTGTTTATTCAGCTTGTCCATTAGGTCAGTACCTGGATTGGCGGTGGCAATCGTTCCTTCAGCTTACTAATTGGTCCATGCCGCCTCATTGTTCTCGTTTAGTAGGCTCTTTGTATCTTGGCAGAATTTAGACCAGCTTCTTCCTGAGCATTATAAATATCAGTCTAATTCCCCTAAGTTTCAGTGTAGTTTAGTATTCGAGAATATATATATTACGTAATCAAGTCTAGATTAGATCAGTTTATAGTTTACACAAGCTTTCCCCTCATTAATACATTTAATCTATAACAAAGAATGCTTAAGCATTGAAGTCTAAGAGATTAGCACGTTTTCATTTATGTGGATTAAGGACTACATTAGTATATCACTCTAGTAGGTCATTATCTAAGCTAAAAGAACTGGAAGACTATTCACCAAGTGGTTATTTTTAGAGAAAGGGTTGGCACTGACATTTGTTCAAAAATTATACTCCCTTGAATCTCTTAGTGAATTGAGTAGTAGGATTGCCCTGAAATTACCCAAGATTTCTATTTCCTACTAATCCAGACTATGCTCGCAGCCTGTTCTATTATTGTAGTTGTGTCATATAAATCCTTATTTTTCTTCATCTACAGTTTGATGTTTCTACACATGCGCATTCCAATCAAGGTACTATCTGAAGTGAGAGCAAGGGGATAACTTCATAATTGTACTAGTTCTTTTCTCCTTCAGTTGGCTTATATACACTTTCTCCAAGTAAGGGAGTTGTTAAGGGAGTTGTACTTTTAAAGAGAGTTTCTTACATACATTTGCGATTAGATACTTTTATGCTCCTTTTTCCCACTCATGTCGAATGAATGAGTTTTCTTACTGTTTCCTATAAATAAAGAAAACAAGAGGCACGTAAATGTTAAAAAGGTATAATTACAAATTGAGTAAACCAACAATAAATTTTTTGTTCAATTATTTTGTTATTTACAAGCTAAAGTGGCCGCCTAAAAGGCGGCCCACCGCTCACTGTTGAGTGAAAGAAAAAATTTAATAAGAACAAATGAATTAATACACNTATATTTTTTTGTTCCATCGAAATCTGTTCCTAATTAGGAAAGAATAAAAACATTCGAGATTCTTTAATTTGTTTCATCTTCTTCTTCATTATTTACAAAATTTACAAAGAAAAACCCTTTTTATCAAAATACACTTCATTTAATTACATAAAATACATCTTTCTTTTCCTCTTTACAACATACATACATACATACAACCGTCCCCTCCAATTATCAACAGAATTTTTTTAAACTTCAAAGATGGAAATGGATATCGATCAAGCTCCACCGGAATTAATATCCATGAACACGCCAATTAAAAAGATTAAAAATCTTCGATTGGACTCATCACCAATATATCCCAACATAAATGAATTTATATCAACAACTGCAACAACATCAGGGACAACAACAACAACCAACAATTCTTCTAATTATTCACAACAACATGGCTTCCATGAATGTCCAGGGTCACCAACAACCAATTCAATGTTAAACAAAGGTTATTCTCAACGATTGACAAGTACAGTATTGGAAGAATTAAATTCACGAGCTAATGAGATTTGTAACAATATTTTATCCCCTCCAGATTCATCTGTGTCATTATCATCTAGAAATCCAAGACGTCAAAATAATGGTGGTGGTGATAGTAGAAGAAGTAAGAGATATAGCGGGATACATTTTACGAGATTCAAACAGATGGAATCTATAACAAACCATTATTCAGTTAATAATGAACCAAGCGCTGTCACTAGAGAAGTACGCACCCCTTCACCTCAAAAGGGTACTGAACAAGATGGATCAATAACGAAAAGAAGAAGAACTTTGAATGGGAATGATGAAATTGTGGCAATTCCAACAATGTCAAAACCGACAGAGGATCCAAGTATATTCAGAAAGATATCTCCATCTAAAGGTTCGGTCAATTTGAATTCAATGTTGAATGATAGAAGACAAACTACTGACACTGGGTCACCTAATAAGGGTAATAATTTGAATCATATAATGCCTAGTTTAAAATCAAGACAAAGTTCACTTGAATTGGCTGGGATAAAACAACCATTAGTACCAGGGTCTAGTATTCAACGAAAATCATCAATACCTTGTTTACAACAGCCACAACAATCACAATCATTAGTAAAGAAATCATCTATGAGTCAATTACCCAAGCCATCTATACCTACATTACAGAAAAAGCCATCAATATCAACGCTACAAAAGAATCCTTCTTCATCTATTCAAGGTCTACAGAAGAAACCTTCAATACCACAATTACAAAGAAAATCATCTATACCTCAATTACAAAAGAAACCGTCAATTCCATCTCTTAATAGGAAATCTTCAATCCCTCAATTGCAACAACATCACCAAAGTCAATCACAGCAACCACAACAACACACAACATTTCCGCCAACTCCCACTATCACCACTTCGATGCCTCCACCAATGGGACCTCCATTACATAAACTACAGAAGAATGTACCCAATTTGTCCAAAATGAGTCCTTCTAAATCATTATCGATAAGTCCATCAAATTCTTCGAAAACATTACATATAAGTCCATCAAATTCTTCCAAAACCTTACATATAAGTCCATCACATTCATCAAAATCATTAAATTTGAGTCCATCACATTCTTCAAGGTCAATAAACATAAGTCCATCAAATTCTACGAAATCTCTCAATTCTAGAATCCTACAGAATAAAACAAATACTCATCAGTGTGGTGGTGGTGGTGGTGGTGGGGTTGTTATGCCTAAATCAAAATCAATAACTATCCCCCAACCATTTTCTTTATATTCAAAACCTACAATATCATCTTCACAAAAATCAATTGATAAATTTCAACGATTTAAAGAACGATTTAATTAATGAACCCTCATGAATTAAAAACAATTTTGTATAAAATCTATTTATAATTTATATATTATTGTTATTATGTATACCCAATTTAGAAAACAAAGAACAAAAAGCTTATCATTGTGCTTTTGATAAACGTTAAAGTCTGTATTATTTAATAAAGTCAGTATTTGTATTATTTAATAAATGTTTGCTTGTATTTTAATTTCTCCACCAATAGTTAATTCTTGAGCTCCCGACCATTTCTCCCCTGATCTTAATTCAATCATTGATCCAACATTACCAGGTTCAACACATAACATATTCTTCCAACCGTCTTTTGGTTTAAAATCGGCCATTCCACCCGATTTCTTAATCCAAGGATTCCAAACCACTGCATCCGGTAAATTCTTCCTAGTAATATTAAATAATACTTTTCCTAATTCAATAATTTGAATAATTTTATCAAAATGAACATTTTTATAAATTCGATCAAATTCTTCATGAAATGAAATTGCGGGTGCTTTTTCAATATATTGTTCATTTAAAAGTTGATCAAAACATTGTTGATCAATTAAATTATTAACTAAAGTATCAGTAATATCCGGAATTTTGAAATATGTATGAAATAACCAATTGAATTCAAATGATTCATTACCATTATTTTCAACATCAATTGAAGTAATTAATTTATCTTTTGATAAACTAATGGTTAAAATTAAAGTAAAATCATAATTACCATCACCCCATAATTTTAAACTATTTGGATCAATATTTTCAGGACCTAAACCAAATTGTACAGTAATTGGATTTTCCGATACTTGACCTAAAAATTCCCAATTTGAATTTCTTACAAATCCATGTTGGGGTAATTTAAAAGTTGGATGAGTTGATGATTTTTGTTTTCCAAATATTGGAAATACTAATGGAATACCACCTCTAACTGGTTTACTACCATCTAATGAAGCACCTGATGATACCCATAATTTTTCTTGTGATTGATTTTCCCAAGAGATAATGGTGGCACCATATTTAAGAATGGTTGCTTTATTAGTTGAATCAGTTGGATCAATGATTATAACACGATCTTCTAATTCTTCAACTGGCATTTCTTTTTTGTAGTTTTTATTCAATTGATGAAAAGATAAGAAGAAGAAGAAGAATAAGTAGAACTACAACTTTCAATCTTTTTTTTTCTTCTTTGGTAGTAATAAACGTATGCTAATTTATATACAAAACGTGTATAATTACACATTAGTTTACCAACAATATTTAAAGTGTAGCATTGTAATTAACAATAGTGGCGATTACATTTTGGTAGTGGCCATTCATCAAATTTCAAAACTCAGGAAACATTTCATCACATCAGTAGATGTAAATCAATTTGAAAGGTCCCCTACCTTTGGAGAGAATGTTGTTTGGATGGAAAAGTGAATTCCGAATGTCGGATAATTTTAAGTTTATAATTAAAACCGACAGCGACATATGTCGTCAATTTTGGTT